AGTTGGTGTTTTCCGAAGGAGCATCAACCTATATTAATTTCCCCTTTGTCCAATTGATTCCCTCTTATTTTCGAGTTCAAGAAAGGCGACATCAAGAAAATCATAAAATGATCGTTGAAGTTGCGTAATTTGGTCACATCAGGGCAATCCCGACACTCTCTCGCACTGCTTCGTCAACACAAAAGAGCACAGAACTCGTCTCTCTGTAAATCGTATAGAGAAAAGAAGAGAGAGTCAACTTTTCACCCTTGTGTACGGAGGGGGGGTGAAGTGTGGGATGATGTAAATGGTGAAGGGAGGCCCCTATTTATAAGTAAAGCGACCCCGCCCTTACTTGCTCACCAAGTAAGGGAGTTCACCTAACATCCTAGCTTCACATCTTCACGTTCTAATGTCCTTGGTATCCTACACGGCTTACCAGTTTGATTGATAAGCGGTAAGAAGGCGTATGAAGCCGAAACAAGCCATCCAATTCAAGTGGGAATTGCTTTAGCTTATCTTGTTAGCTCATGCATGTAGGATGTGAAGGAGTGAGAAGCAACATGAAGATGAGAGAACCTGTTTAGGATGTGAACTTGTCTAGTATGACAAGTAATTCAGGGAGTGACCGGCTATATCCGTATGACGAGTTAGAATATCAGCCAGGGCTAAGGTTTACAACCATTGTAGAATATGAAGCCACTATGAATTATCCTGTAAGTTGAGTTATTAGGATGTGAACTAGGTTAGATTAATAGGCATGAAGAAATGTCAAGAGATCGAGATCAATACCTGTCAAATTTGAAGGCTCCAATTCGAGACTTATGAAGCAAGAAAGATAGAAAATTAGGAGGAATTATCACGCAAGTTAGAAAATATTCCCAACTTCTGCTTGTAAAATACATATCGAAAAATATTTAGGTGAAGTTGAAAACTGGAACGGGTTTTTACCCAAAGAAAAAAAAGAAAACTGGAACGGGGAAGTTGGCATGTAATTCCGGACATATTCCGGGTAAACTTCGTAAACTAGTTATTTTTCTAACCTGCTTGTACCTGGATACATTTCAGTAATTAAAAAAACATGTCTAAACAATTACAGAAAGATTAGCAAGCTAGTCTGGAGAAGTTGACATGTAATTCTGGAAATATTCTGAGTCAACTTTTTAAGTTGGTTATTATTCTCACTTGCTTGTCATCCTAGTCAGCTTGATAATCTAACTTACTTAACATGTATGGAATTAATAAAAAACAATAGCTTGAAGTCACAAAGATTAACAAGTTGGCTTGGGAAAGTTGTCATGTCGGGGTCGTTTGGAAGTTGCGATTGTTTTGTTAAGATTGTTATTATGCATGTATTTTTTACAATGCATTGGGGAGCAGATCCGGTGAGTAACCTTGTGGTGAGTAACCATGAGTAACCCGTCCACATCAGCATGACATCAGCATCCTTTCTCTCTTGGCAAACTTTTAATTTTCCCCTCTTTAATCTTTGACGGACGATTTCTCACTCATTTTAAGTTGAAATTTAATTTTTTTTGTACAGTTAGATCAGATTAATTGTGCTCTTCAAAATGATATCCACTTTAATATATTTTTCGAACAAAAAAATTTGAGCCATTTTTTACCAGTCTATACCATATGGTATTGACTAGTATTGAAATAAAAGCATACCTATGGTTTGAAAAAAGTACCATGGTGGTATGAACAAACCAAGACTGTAGGATGGTTGAATACATGATAGTAGAAATATATTAATTGTCATTTACGACTTTTAACATTGTATACCACAAGATACCACCCCGTACCAGGGTGATATTGTATGGTATTGTGTGATATTTTTTGGTCCTGTAATTTGTTCACCCATAAAGTTGTAGATCCAATAGATCATGATAAACTCGTCTCTTCTGTGCAAACGTTTTCAAAAAATGCATTAAAAACGAAGAAGATACCATACAATACCACCCCGGTACGGGGTGGTATTGTATGGTATTGTGTGATATTTTTTGGTCCTGTAATTTGTTCACCCAGAAATTTGTAGATCCAATATATCATGATGAACTCGTCCCGTCTGTGCAAACGTTTTCAAAAACGAATTAAAAATGAAGAAAATACCATATGGTATGCAGTTGGTACCAAGAGGCCATAATTTTTTGTTCTAAAAAAATATTGAAAATTGATCTCATTTTGTAGAGCACGATGAACCGTTCCACCTGTGCAAAAAAAATTAAATTCCAAGTTAAAACAAAAAAGATATGAGCCGATTAAAAAAGCTAGAGAAAATAAAAATGATCTTTAATTCTCCATCCTTAGATCTGTATTTTCTAAATGAAGGGTCCAGATTTAGTTATTGATGGATGCATAACCCATGGTTATGCACCCTATCTTGAGCCCTTGTTTTTTTATTTTTTTAGCAGAAACAATACATGGATTGTTTCTATGATGTGACAGAAACTATCACTCATTTTGAGTGATTGTTATATCTCAACTTTTAGTTGTGATTGTTGAGATAGTTGAGTTGAGATTGTTTTGTCTCAGCTTTTAGCTGATGCGACATACACAATCACACATACCAAACGTTGTATTCTACAATGCATCAAATTCGACAATACATGTATAATATTATACATGCATTCTCAACAATACATCTATTTAACAATCGCAACTTCCAAACCAGGCAACTTCCCAAGCTGGTTATTTTTCCTGAACGGCTTGTTATCCTAACCGGCTTGACATTCTAGCCGACTTGCTATGCAAGGAATAAAAAACACTAAAATGAAGTAAGATAAATTAATCAAACCAATTTGGGGGAGTTGTCGTATAATTCCGTGAATTATTTCGGGACAACTTCCAATACCAATACATGTCATATTTTCTCACAACCTCGTCGTTAACCAAATCGGCCCGGTGATTTATCTTACTTGCCGTGCAAGTAATCAATAAACAAGAAAATTAGGTACGATAAATTAACCAAACCAACTTAGGGGAGTTGTCATATAATCTTGGGAATGTATAGTTCTGTGAATATTCCGTGACAACTCTCTATACGGGTTATTTTCTATAACCTTGTCATTAACCTAGTTGGCTAGGTAACTTAACTTATTTATCAAGCAAGAAGTTAAGAAATGTATGCAGATGAAGTTGGGTTAATTAACAAGTCGGGTCAGGAGGTTGTCATTATATTTTGGAACGACTTCATATACAGACTATTTTTTCTCATAATCTCGTCGTTAACCAAATCGGCTCACTAGTTAACCCTATTCCATACTCTAGCTTCCTTGATGAACATGTAACCTTAACCTAATTGACATGGCAAGCAAGACAACACATCTTCATCATCTTTCCAAAGGCTAACACTTGGCCACAGCGGTCACATTTTGGTACGATGATGAAGAACACATGTAAACCATTGACGAACTAAGTTAGAAAATGAAGGAAGCTAGAATATGAAATGCTTCAATCAACGAAGGTAAGAAGAATTTGAAAATGACATAATATTAGTTCCTTGATTTTACATAAAATTACGGTGAAAGCATGCATGGAAGTCTGGGTGACAAAGGTGGAAAATGATAGGCGAATGGTGCAAAAAATATGAGGAAAATGGTCCTCATAATCCCCACATGTAACTTTGCATTGGGTTGTGGCATGTAGGGAGGTTGGCCATGTAAAAGGGGAAGAGACGAGGAGGAAGAGTTGATCGGTTGGAGGTGGTCGGCCGACGCGTGTAGGCTACGCGCAACCTTAAGGACCTCTCCCGGTGGATGTTTTCGGTGCGATCTGATTGCGAATTTTTGTAGAGCTTGGAAGAATGCTTTCGTAAAAGTACAACACGTGTTAAGTGAGTTTTTTTGGGAGTTAAGGTTTTTTTAGGTGGTTTTTGCGAAAATCGGCTCCATTATTGGTCTTTTATTTTTTTTCCTAAAAATTTTATAGATCCATAGATCATGATAAACTCATTACTTCTGTGCAAAATATTTCAAAGTTGACTAAAAAACGAAGGAGATATCATATGGTACGAAGGTGGTAACGAGTGGTATGACTAATAATTTTTTTTTTCTCAAAATATATTGAAAATGGATCTCATTATGTAGAGCATAATGAACTCGTTCCATCCGTGCAAAAAATTTGAAATCCAAATTAGATCGAAAAAGATAGGGCCGATTAAAAACACTACGGTAAATAAAAAGACTTTAATTGACAACCCGTAGATCTGGAACCAACTTAAAATGAAAGATTCATATTTATTTATGCAAGATTATGCACCATAGAGTTATTGACCCTGTCCGTAGCCGAATACCACCCATTTATTAAATTTAGGAAATTAATCGATAATTTTGAAATTAAAAAATGGAAAATAAAACGAAGAAAGTTAATCTGCTAACTTGAAGATTCGTTAGGAGATACTAACTGATATCCAAAATAAATACTACTAAAGTATCTAGATAACACATACTAGTATTTATGGTTTGCTAACTAATATCCAACATATTATCTCAAATTCACAAACTAATATCTAGACAACACATAATAGTATCCATACAGCACATGATTAGTATCCAGATAACACATAAGAGTATCCATATTGAATATAATTGGTTGATTGTGGATATTAGTTGGTATCTGCTATCTGGATACTAGTTTGTGATGTTTTGAATACTAATCTGTGTTATATAGATACTTTAGTAAAATCAGTAGACTTGAATACTAGTTCATACAGTTTGGATATTAGTTAGTATATACTAACAACTTATACCGTTAGCCGAATAACTAGGCTGAAATAAAACGGACCACTTCATGGTGACAACTGACAACTAATTTGAGTTTCATTTTTGGATATTAAATTGGTTTAAAAAAATTTGACCAGAAAAATTTAGCAATTGTATTTAGCCAAAACTTGACTCCTGACTTCGTTTTCCGAGTTCTTCGGCCTTGTACCTCTTTCCGTAACTTTATTCTTTCAATCTGCCCAATTTTCGGTGGTTCTCATTTCGGGCGATTGATTCGTCGCATCTTTCAGACTGTTGATGATGTCTGGGCACTCAAGGAGTGATAGCGACAGTCCTTTTGATGTCGACGAACTTCTGCAGATTCAGACGAGATGCCGGGAGGTAAAAAAGCTTCTGTCTTTCCCCTTTCTCGATTGCTTAGACGCCATCAATGATTGTGGTCAAAAGGAACTTGTTCGGTTTTAGTATTCCAAATTTCTTCAGATATTGTCTGCTATTTTGTCATTCCATCACCCCCTTTAAATTTTGTCTTGATTCAGCTTTGGAAAGAGAAGGACATGCTGAGAGAATCACAGCCCCAGAGCATTGAATTCTTAAGGGTAACTATCCATCATTGGTTTGTACGGATTCATTTCCCTGAATAAGTGTGGATTGGAGCTAGTTCAATTTCATTTCTTTATTTTTTTCTTTTCTTTTTGTGTGTAGCTCAGTATGAAATTAGTCTTTCCCCAATATGGCTCTTGAGTAGCAAGCGAGGCATAGTATCTGAACTTAAGGATATGTTTCTTTTCATTTTGTTCCAACTAGTGTTCATTTTGGTTTTCGTGTGTACTTCCAAGTGCATTAAGTTGAATTGCCAGTCTGAAATACTTAATACTGGGAGGTAGAACTTAGAAGATTGCATCTGAACCCTTCACCTAATTTTGGCTTCTGTGCTCTTCCTATGAGGATTAAGAAGCTTTTGGTGCTTTTAAGGTAGCAGAGTGAACAATGGAAAGGTTGAATCTTGAGAGGTTTAGTGATGATTCTCTTCTAAGTTCATTATTTGCAGGGGTTAGAATCACATGTGAAGTCTCTGACTGGGGCTCGTGCGAAAGACAGAAGACGCATAGAAATGTTGGAAAGGGAGCTATTAAATTGCTCTCAAGAGATAGGTCAGCTAAGTCTTTATATAGGTTTCTTGCTTTTCATATTCCTTTCTTCCCCATACAGATTACTTTGCTCAACCAAGTCACTTATTTTTTATAGATTACTTTCAAGATCAACTCAGTGCAAGGAATGCTGAGGTGTTCAGTTTAGGGAAGCATGTCGATGAGCTCGAGTTAAAATTAGTCAAGGTGCATGATGTAGAGATGAAGAATCACCAATTATGTGACGAATTGGAACGGTCTAAGTCAGAAAATCAGTTATTGATTGAAGAACTATATAGCAAAGAGGTGGAGCTGAAACGTTCATCTTTAGTTATAAAGACACTAGAGGAGTCAATTTGCTCTGTAACCCTAGATTCTCTGTGCGAAATTGAGGGCATGAAGCTTGATATGATGGGTTTGGAACAACCTTCCTTTGAAGTTCAAAAAGCTCAAGAAGAAGCCATTCAAGAAAATGTATCCATGAATAAGCTAATCAAAGAACTGGACATTCAGATTCTGAATAATCAAAAAGCTGCTGAAGATTTAGAAAGGGAAAATAAAGAACTGAGAAATAAGCTGAGGGCATCAGAAATAAGTGCTCAAGAATATCTTCAGATGATTGACAAAGTGCTAAAACCCACGTGTAGCAAGACCGCAAGCAGTACGAAGGTGTCTAATGAAATGAGGTGAGTTACCAACTTCAACGCCTCCATCTGAATGAATTATATTACTTTTACTAAATTGCTTCTCTAGTTGCATTATAATTTTGATTAACCTGCTGTCAAGAAATTTAGTCTTTAACTGATAAGGTACATACAGTTCAGTGGGGGTGTAATTTACCCAAAGTACGCGTTATAAGTAATTAATACTTTTGATGTTGGGTTAAGTTAGTGAAGCTACTGAAGAAGAAACCATTGATCCGAAAATTGAGAAATGGTTGATGGTCCTGATTTGGCAATTTCAATACTTACATCTGCAAATTGAATTCCACCATTGATGACAGTGGTACATGAGTGCTGCAGTCTTATACTCTTGTGGAGGATCCATTGTCGAAGACCTACCCTTCTATTCTTTGTGTAACTTGTATCTGAGTTATACTTTCAGTTCATAAACGTGACTTGGGAGCATTTGTTCAATACCTTTTGTGCTTGTATTTGTATGGAAACTCATGTGCTTGTTGATGTTATAACGTATTTTTCTTATGTGTCAAGTGCTTGTGGGGAGGTGCTTGGTGAACTCTTTTTGAAGCTCCCTATGCTATTGGAAGCAGAAGGGGATTCAAAGGGGCAACTTAACAGTATGTCATGCCTGATAAACGACTATGAAGCTATTGTGAGAAACCTTAAGGTACGAGTTATAGCCTTATGGGGATACCAAATTGACTTGGATTTGGATAATGAGATTAATAATCAAACTGAACGTGCTTAACAATTGAAGAGAAGTTTAAATGGAGTCTTGAACGCTTACAATTTAACTGTGGTGATGTTAACTTTCTCATTATTACTAGGAAGAACTGAAAGAGCTCAAATTAAAAGCAAAGGAAGAAGCTGAAGACTTGGCACAAGAAATGGCTGAGTTGAGGTACGAAACAACAAGTTTACTTGAAGAAGAGCGCAAACGGCGTGCTTCCATTGAACTAGCATCGATACAAAGAATAGCTGAATTAGAGTCGCAGGTAAATGATATATTCATGAATCAATTGCACTTGCTGGGTTAATGATGGAATAAGTGTCGACTCTGAAATGTATTTTTGTTGCTGTAAAGGTTCAAAAAGAAAAAAGGAAGTTGGTTGCTGCTATTGGCCATCTCAATGAAGCATAGAAGAGGGTCTCATAGAGAACTTGAAGGCTTGTTTGTTAAATGTTTGAAGTTTTGAATCAAGGTATGCATTTCTGTTGTATCTTGGGCTTTCTGAAGCTGCTGGAAACACAAATGACTGTTGTTTTGTTTATTATGGTTTGGTTTTACATCTACATTTGCCATTGGCTAACTGTTCGACAATCCTGGAGTCACTGAGGGTTCTGTTGATACATACATGAAAAGGTGAGTAAAATAAAAGAAAAACGAGGAGCATATTAACTAATTCACCATGTTGTGCGTGGGGGTGCAGAAAGAAAGATATAACAACACGGGAATTTACTCACAGAAAGTAATAACGCGTAGATACCTCTTAGTTGAATGTGTGGATTTATGCAATTCAGTGCATTGATTTTTGTCTTGTTATGCTGCCAGTGGAACATTTCCTAATCTCCAAAGACTGGAATTGTAGGAGGGCTGGCATCCGCACTGCAGTAGAACACTTGGGCAAGATCCAGAACTTATCAAAGTTGATGGAGCAGAGCAGAGGTTTCATGATTAGAATTTACGCTGCCATCTGGTTGTATCAAGAACGTTGCCATCTGGTTGTCCGTGATAAGTGGTATCAGAATCGGAATACAAGAATGAGTAAGCTTGTACTTGAGTAGCACGAATGCCTTGTTTTGCTCTTCACCACAACAGAAAAACAACATTCTTCTTGATGATTGAAGTTTATGGTGCGGCTATGGTGCTGAAATGTGACACAAATCGTCGTTAAAAACCAGCCAAGCCATGAAAGCTCCTCAAGTTATTGACATTAGTAGGGGTAGACCACGCTTGAATTACCTTCACATTCTCTTCATCGACTTCAACTCCATGAGCACTAACCAAGAGTGGTGTAGCCAGGAATATTGCTAAGGTGGGTAAAAAAAGAAAACATAGCATAAATTATATTAATCGTGTACAATGATCTGCAACTTATTTTCATAACCTTAAAAGTATTTAAAATACATTCATCATCCAAACTGTCAAGGATGTCACTCTCAATGTAACAAACCAAAAAATCGTTCATGATGTCATAACTCATCTTATTGTGAAGTGTGTTCTTCAATAATTCACAGCAGAAAATGCTCTTTCCACACTTGTCATGGCACCAGGAAGCAACAACGCCAATTTCAGAAGTCGATAGGGTTAGGGATTGTGATGGGCATGGGAAAATAGGCGAAGTTGTTTTTAATATCTGAAACACTACACTTGCAATAAATAATATAAACGTTCACCTTGACTCAACATATAGCCAGTAGCATGGTGGCTGAACTGTTGTTCCGATGCGGGGTGTGGGATATCTCTGAACAAGGGAGTGCTAGGGATGGCAACGGTGCGGGTTGGGTCTGGGTTTGAAAACGCAAACCCAACTCAACACGCTGGGTATCCATGGGTTCATGAGTACCCATGGGTTTATGTCGTAAAAAATTTACAATAACAAGTTCCTATCAAATAAAAGTCAAATATCAATCTTTCAATACAAATTATCCATATATAAAACACAATTCTAGAAAATTCAAGCAAATCACAAAGTAACGTTACAAATTGTTCAACACCAATCTAGAAAACTCAAGAAAATTGAAGCAAATCACAAATTATCCATAAACAACCTGATTAATTGAAAGCTTCTTCCTACTTTTCAATTAAGCTTCGTCACTCTCCATTTCATAATATCAACTTCATTTTATACAATTAAAAAGAAAAAATTAGACATATTTTCACAAACATAAAGAATATTAGTTGCTTTGAATAATAAATATACCGATAAAATTAATTATATGGGTGTGGACTGGGTATCCATGGGGCGGGTATATCTAAACCCAAACCCAACCCAGCCCGGTGAATAGTGAACAAGTTTAAACCCGAACCCGGCCCAAAATCCATCAACATGGGTTTTCCCCGCGTTGACTGGGTTGGGTCGGGTAGGATACCTGTGGGTTCGGGTTTTGTTGCCATCCCTAAGGAGTGCATGCGACCTCCCTTGGTTGCATGTGGCTCTGCCACTGCTAACCACAAAAACAAAAAATACCACGCTTGAGGTACAAAACGTGCAGTACTTAAGATTGGCATAGAGATGCTCTTTCCTCAAAGTCGCCAATACTTCCCGTAGATGCTCAAGATGATCCTCCATACTCTTCGGGTATATATCAGAATATCATCGAAGTAGACAACCACGAACTTCCCAATAAAAGGCTCTCAACTTAGGTCACCCAATTCGTGGGTTGACCCTTGCCGCTCCAGGATTGGAGTGTGAAAACGCGCTTTTATAGTAAAGCGTTAATAATTCGCGTATAACATTTAATCAGAGCGCGGATTATATTAGGAAGTTCGCAACTCGCCTGACGAATTGAGCTTTTATAGAAGATAAAAAGGAAAAGTCTTCTTCGAGTTGGTCGTTCCATCGCCCCCACTGCCAAATCAACAATCGTTGATGCAGTCCATCGTTTTCCTCCTACAAGTTGTTGTCGATGAACTGAGTTAATAAAAAGCAAAGGGAAACACTTGTTCTCCTTGCCACCGACCGCATTATCTCCTCCTGCTACAAAATCGATGGTCGCAGATGCAGTGCTTCTTCCCCTCCAAACTAGTGTTTTCCAATTAGAAGTTGATTTGTTATGAGAAGTAACGTTGAGATAGAAAAAAGATTATCTAGCGGCTGCATGGCTCAATTGATGAAGGAAGGAGAAGAGATAGATTTAGATTGTTCTGGTTTTACATCAGAGAAGAGGGGAGAGAGACTATAGAGAGGAGGAGAGAGAGGGGAAGTGATGACTGGTGAGTTTGACGGTGGGTGAATGGCAAGGATAAGGGGAAAGTAAAAAAAATTTGGAATACTTAATTTTTCGAAAAGAAAAAAGCGAGTGTTCTACTTTTTCTTGGAACTTTTTTATCAAGTATTAGAGTTATGTTATTAGGAAAATTAAAGCTAAAAACTTCATATTATTTGTATGGTATGTATACTATTTTAGAATTAGTAAACATATTTCAAATTATTTATATATAATGCATTATATAAATATATATAAAAAACAATTAACATAATATAATAATGACGCTCTCTTCACGCTTTCGATTTAAATTTTTTGTATGATAGACGCTTTCACGCTCTCGCTTCATGAACTGGTTACCTAAGGCCATGTTCACTTTCATTTTCGTTTCCTGTTTTCTGTTTTCATGTGATAAATTTGGCAACCGAAATGAGAAAACTTGTTTACTTTTCATTCTGTTTTCTATTCGTTTCCAACTATGAAAACAGAAAGTGGCAACTTCCTGCTGTTTTCGGAAACGACAAAATGTTGTTTTCACCTGTTTTCAACATCTGTTTTCTCAAAAACAGGAAACAGAAATGAAAGTAAACAGGCCCACTCTCAACACGTGATTCATCAACCTAATAAAAGTACTCGGAGCATTAGTCATTAGAAAGGCATCACCGTCCATTCATGACCCTGCTTCATTTCAAAAGTTGTCTTCCATTCATCTCCACCCTTCATACGAATTTGGTGATAGCCTGACCTCAAATCAATTTCAAGCTAAATCCATGTAATTCATAAGCATGTCATCTAAACAAGGTATACGATGTGATATTTAACTTTTATTTGTGGGCAATATTAGGAGGAGGGAAAGTAACAATGTTGTCAGAAATGAACTAGTGTATGAACCGATGTAACAAGCAGTTCGCACTTTATTGGTCTAACCGTTATTAAACTGTTACAAATCCGACCACGAACCGGTATTGTACAAACAAGAAAACTGTAAGTAGAAATCATTAATAGTATTATAGTTAGATAATGATTATATTATATATCATAACAAATAATTATATATGACAAATAAAAACCTTCATTTGAAAGATATAAAAATGCCTTAATGATAATATATGTGATTTGCTAAAATTGAGAATTCAATGTTATTATTTCAAAGATATACCTTTTATCATCGTTAAAAATGATACTTGTTATATTTTGTAACACCAACAAGTTGTAGATGTACCGGGAAACTTGGTGATCCACCAAGTGGCGGGTTCAAATCCCACCATCCTCATTTTATTGCAATAGATTTTTATCCCTGCTGAGCATTGGTCAGCAGTTCTGACCTATAAAATTGGACGGGCGGTTCGCATGGCTCGTCCGGTTAATGGGTCGGCTCGATTGCAAACTATCTAATTGACTCGTGGCGGCTGGAAGTCGGTTTTCACTTTCAATAGTCGAACCGACCGGTCATGTCCGACTTTAACAACACTGGAAAGTAATTATTGAAATCCCCAAATTCGAAAGTTTTGTATCCTATCTTAAAAACCCAACAGTTAGCTATTTGCATGATGAACTTAAGCTTAGGGCGAGGGTGGTACCCCGACGTACCTTGGTTGTATCTTTGGTTTTTCCACCAATATTTTGTAATCAACCTCCATCCCAGAAACCTAAATTGGTTGACTAGATAATAACAAAGTGCGAAGTAGCCTAGGGTATTAAAACTCGTGAAATACGACCGTGGTAGCCACTATACTAGCAATGCCATTTTGAGGTATACTTAGCTCAAAATGGGCTTGTTAGATAGGTCGTGCAAATGATTCTAATAATCAACATGGGGTAGTAGCACACCATATATGAACCGAGGAACCAATATCAATCATCCTCTCTAATAAATCTCGACCTAAAAGCACACCTTGCCATGCCCAAGAAGGCCTGGTACCACATGAGATATGTAAAAAGGAAGAATTAGGGAAATACCTTAAGTAGAAGCTAAAAGACTATCATGCTCATGTACCACACGCCAAGCCTGTTTTGCTAACAGAGCAACATTGTTTGCATCAAAATCACGGAAACAGAGGCCGCCTTCCAATTTACGTCGGCACAGTGAGAACCAAGAAGTCCATTTTATACCTCTCTCTCTATCCTATAACTCCACCAGAAACGAGCAAGATGACCATTCAAACGTCTGCTAAACAAAAAGGAAACCGAAAACAATACATTGCATATATCGGTTGGGATAAGGCAACAGATTTGTTCACCGTCTCCTTGGCCGCCAAAGACATATTTTTTGAATTCAACCTTTGAATGCGACAAACAAGGCCTTCTTCGATGAAATGGAAAGTCTCCTACTTGGATCTCAAAATTCGAGCAGGAAGGCCCATATACTGATCCTTCGGACCACTAATCATCAGCCCAAGAAGAGAGAATGACATTCACCTCTACTGGTAAAACATTAGCACTAAAGGAAACCGTTGACTTATGAAGATATACACCTCGCAAAAATATAGTGCATGTACTCTCTCGCAATGTGGGGTACAATTTGAATAATGAGTCGTACCCGTCCGTCTTGAAGTTTAATACTTTGAGAAGGTTCGTATTATTCTGAAATCCTAATCGTCTAATATTATATTCTTCTAAGTCACAGTTCATGCCAGGTTTCGCCAAATTGATGTCTAATTCAACTATCTTCTATTCTTCCACTGTCCATAATGATGTGAAATCCCAGCAACATTCTAATCAATGTATGAAGTCGCATCTGGGAGATCAAGATCATCCTTTTAAATCACAGCTAAATGAAGGGCATCCAGGAATGGCAACAAATTGAGTTTCTAGTTCTTCACATATGGAAGGAGGATCCAAGTTCCAAGTAAATGAAGGGCAGAAGGTGCTATGAAACAAGTCTGCGGGAGTTTAAAATTTGAATTGACTGAAAGAAAAGAGGGCATAAGAAAGAAGGAATATAGAAAATTACCTTTATACTACTCACCAGCTGTTAAGAAAGCAGGATGTTAAGCAGAGAATGGCATTAAGGGGGAGAAGCTCGTAAAAAGATATATGAATCATCTGCAAATAACAGCTGTGAAATCATAGGACAATGACGGTGAACCTTTAAACCATGGAGAAGGTCAGAGAAAATTGCTTGGCAACAATAGAGAAACCTTTAGTGTACAACGCAAAAAGTAAAGGCAATAGCAAATCACCTTGACGGAGGCCTCTCTCGGGACGAAAATAACAATAGGGCGAACCATTCAAAAACACACAAAAGGAAACTGAGGTGACACATGCCCATAAACAATCTAGCCACTGTGAACAAAAGCCAAGCTTGGACATAACATTAAAGACAAGATCATACACATTTTTCATATCTTATTTCAAAGCCATCCATTTTTATCACTATGAGATGATTTGTTCTTCGGGAAGTGAAGCACTTCCTGACTAGCAAAATATTGTCAATGATGAGATGACCCTTAACAAAACCATTTTGTAATGGCCCAATAATAGAGGTAGGAACGAACAAGGGCTTGGTCTAGTGGTAATACCACTAGCCTAGAACCTGGAGGTCCTAGGTTCGAATCCCTTAAGTAGTACCTTAATCACAAAAAATAAATCTATATCACCCTTATATATAAAAAAAAAAAAACAGGTATGAAACTCCCAAAGCCCAAAGTTGAATGGTCAAGACTTGGGAAATTACCTTATAAACTACCAGGCAAAGGCCAATCGCCACATTCGGCACATGGAATCTTCCAGTTGTAAATGTTGAAGTTCTTGCTGAGTTATGGATTGACCTATTCCAGGTCTTTTTGAATATGTGCCGGCAATATAGTAGCATCTACATAGTTGCCTCAAAATGACACATAAAATGTTGTTGATGCCTTGATGGGCTCCTGATTATGGCTTCCAACAAGTGCTCTAATGAGTCTAACCCCGGTAGGAAGAATGATGGATGACAATTTCTTTGGTTGGTAAATATTCGCAATTACTACGACGGATGAGTGATGGATTTACAAAAGTTATATTAGCTTATATTTAAAGGGTCTTCGCGTTACACGTTTACAATATCCCCCTGATCTGGAGAAAAGTTATGTTTGCCTCATAATTAAATTAAAGCATGAGCAGGAAGCTCCAACAATCACCATAAGATCGATTTGCTTGAACAGCCAAGTTAGTCAGTTCCAGAGCTGGCTGGAATAGGATAGACTCCGAAACAACATCGGTGGTTGCTTTCTGCTTGTCCCGTTGTCTGCAATGTTGTGTACTGCTTCCCTCTTAGCAATCAATCACATTGGCAGTAACCAAGGTGCGCATTGCAGAAGCAGCTTCCACGCAGTGCCTCATCCTGCAGCAGATCTTGCAGTCAACCATATCCTTCGCTCACTCTCTTATTCAATTTTCTGGTATAATCATCACATGATACTTTCCTCCATGCCTAACATCAAGTAGCAGTTGACTGTCTGATGGATATTGTGCTGGGTGGAGGGGAGGAAGTTATACTCTTCATAATGCATACCTTCGTTAATGACAGTAACTGATTGCACAAGGGTAGCAGGCTACATCTCTATTCAGGTTCTCCCCCCCTATATCCCCTCTATCAACAGTTTGGCATCTCTCGGCACACCCTCCTTGCCAAACAATCTTACAACCGTCTTATGCAATTGCTCATCAAACTCAAACTGATCATCTTGCCTCAGCTGAAGAACAAACTCCTTAGCTTTTCGAGTCAAACCCAATGCTGCATACAGACTCAGCATGTCATTGCAAGACCGAGCGTCAGGCAATCCAGTCATCGACAATCCTTGAAATGTAACCTCAGCAGCCTCTACATCCCCTTTCATAACATAACACTGCAAGAGGACAATGTAACCAAACCTAGACAGCCGAATCTTCCTGGACTTCATTTGTTCTACAACACTCAAAGCGCTCTCATAATTCCCAGAAGCACGATGCACTTGGGCCATAGCCAAGTAAGTCTTCTCTTTGCTCAACAAACCCAGTCGCTCCATCTCACGAAACGTCTTATGGGCATCCTCGTAAAGCCCAAGCTTGCCATAGATTCTTATGAGCAAACCATATATGACTTCATCAGCTGCAATTCTCCTTCGCTGCATCTCAGAGAAGAGGGAAAGTGCCTTGGAGTAATCTTCAGTCTTGTAATATAATGTCAAAAGTGAAGCACAAGTGAAGTTACTTGGAACGATTCCACAAGACCTCATGTCATCATACAACTTCAGGGCTTCATCCCAATCTCCTCTTCTCGTGCTGGCATTGATCAGCAAGCTGTAGGTAACCTCCTCCGGCAAATGCCCCTGTTGCTTCATTTCGTCGAACACCTTGAATGCATCCTCGTGAAGACCTTCCTTGAGAAAAGAACTGATCACAATGGTAAAGGTAAAAGCAGTAGGAGCTACTCTTTCGCCAACCATTTCCTTCCAAAGATGAATGACCTGTCCATGGAGAGACTTCTTCTGCAACGAAGACAGCATGAAGTTGTAAACAGCAATGGCGAGTTTGATCCCTCTTCCTTCCAAGGCTTCGTAGAACGACAACATCGCATTGTGCCTACCCCACCTAGCGTACGAACACAGCATGGTGCCGCAAGCGACATCATCAGGCTCGCATCCAACTTCCAGCATCTCCAGAAATGTCTGCTCTGCTAATTTTATCTTCCCAACTTGGCCGTACAGCCGGAGAACGATTGTGTAGACGATCACGCTCGGACGATAGCTCAACTGCAATTTCATCCAGCCGAAGAAATCGCGAACTTCCCTCCAGCCTCGCTGCTCTTTGAGAACGACGCACATCTCTCGGAAGCTCAATTTTCCGACGAATCCGGACATGAGAGACCTAACATCGCGGTCAGCTTCTTTTTTGCCAGCTAACCCCCTGATGGCCTTGATGGCGGCGACGACATGTTTCCCGTAAAGATGGCCATTGCGGTCGTCGGAGAGGAACTGGACCATTTGCTCCGGTGTACGCTTGATCCATTTGGGGGTGAGGGCGTGAGGGCCCTGGTTCTTCCGTAATGCGCTCAGGTAGCGAGCTTTGCCGTTGATGATGCGGCGGGCATCGTCGTCGGAGAGAGGGTTCTTGGGGTTTTTAGATTTGGGCTTTGGTTTAGAGATGTTGTTGCCGTCGCTCAAGGACCAAGGGTCAGGGTGGACCGAGGCTTTGATGGTGGTTGTGCGGAAGGGTTTGATGGAGCGTTTTGGGGTTTTGCAGTTGGGATTTGGATTGAGAGGTGCGGGAAGAAGAAGAGAGGGGTTGAGGCGATTGAGGGGATCATGAATCACCATTGCTGCATATGCAGAGGATAACGAACAAAGGACCAGAAATTATTTCGGAGTTCTGTTAGGTAATTTGGTTTGGGTTTTGTCAAACCGATGATGTTTGGTTTGGAAAATATTAAACCCAAATTTATTAAAAAAATTCAAACTTGCGGTTTGTTTTCAATTGGATTGGATTGGTTTGACGATATTTTTAAGTAAAAATCCCACTCAACACAAAATATGTAATTATTCTACGGCATAAAAATATTTTATAACTAATTAAAATTTCAAACGAATAAACCAAGGTGAAAGGTATCAAAATTCACAAATGTTGTTTGAATTTTAATAACCTGTGATTTGCTTCAACATACGTCTAATTTTTTTCACGAAATTTGTTAAAATAGACATTTGTTGAATTATAAACGAACGCATCCATAATATGTTATTCTACTAAAATTGTACACACGAAAAAGGATTACGTGAATCATAGCTATATTAAATTTATGTATAAACTTTAAGTCGAAGAATGCATTAGATTAGAGAGACCGTGAGAGAAAAACATGAAAAATATCTTAATTTACTCATAAGTATGGTTATATACGACATAAATATTTTTTGGGTACGAACTCATACCAATAGTTGGAACACGGGTTGAGTCGGGTTCTACGGGTTGTGTAATCCAAAATCCAAACCCAACCCAAAAGAGGTGGGTTGTACAAAAGAAAACCCTCACCCAACCCAAAACCTTCGTTTTAGCGATAAATACAGGTGAGTTGTGTCGGGTTGAACGTGTGGATCAGTTAGCGGGTGTGTTTGTTCACCCCTAACGCAAACCTAATCACTTGTGCCTAAGATAACAATCCAATAAAAGTAAATATGACGGGTTGAGATTCCCTATAGATGGTTGAGGTCCTATTTTTTAGGAAAGATTTAAAATAAGCAAGTAAATAAAAGATGATAGTTAAGCAAGTAAATACAAATGTTGTTTAGGCATCTTATCTCTATTATATAACACTATCTCGTCCACTAAAGCATTCCTAACTGATCTTTTGCAACATGCGAAGAAACTACAATTAGCTAATTCGTGCTTTCGCTTCATGCTATTAACCAATCTATAAATCAAGAAAGTAAGTATAGAAAAACATTGAGTGTGCGCCTCTATGAGCCATAACCATGTTTTGTAGCATCGATGATCTAAGAATTAAACATAAACCAAATACAAGCATGCATAATTATGTCACCAACTAAATATACATGGATAGGATAGAAACATATCACATAGGAGGAGTTTCCTAACAACAAAACCTGATATTATAAACGATGACTCTAATAGCATACAATAGATTATATAAAGCATGGAATAACTAAAACATACAATGACTAAATCATCGAATGATAAAGCATTAGATGAGTAAAACGCCATATGATTTAAGCATCGAATGATCAAAGCATCGAATTATAAAGGCATCTTATTAAATCATAGAAAGTAGATGCATAAAACAACATATAATTCACATCCGTATAGAATATAGAGCTATCACTCCATAAGAGAAAATGAAGCCCTTAATAGTGGAGTCATCATCTTCGAACTTCACTAGAACTTTGCCTCCTCTATATGGATTGCTACTCGTGCCCGCTAGGGCAGAGTGTGTGTAAAATGTGTGTCTAAAGGCTCTAGCCTAAACCCTATATACTAATTACAGGAGGGAGAAGCTGTATACACATAAGAAAGTCATTGGCCAAAAGGAGTTATTACTGATTGTGTTGACATTTTTTTGGAAGTATCTAGAAGGTTCCAAGAGTACTGACGAAAATTTGGACGCTTTTGGAGCATGACTTAACTGGATTTGCACTCTGTTTAAAGCCTTATTGGTCACCAAATAGGTTGCATTTTGGTGAATGCTTCCTCATTGTCTCCATGGACTGCTTGCCAAATTTAGCTCAATTGGATATCATTGTCTCCATGGGATATCATTTTGATGTTTTTGCAGGATGGTTGATTAGAATCACCCGTACCTTGCAGCGATTCCAACGGCACCTGCATTCCAAAGTAGCGTGAGATTTTGGAGGAAGGCTCAGTTTGGGCTTCATTGGCAACTCAATTCCGAAAATTCGATGCGTTGAACTATGGAGATACCATGAGAGAAGTTGTGGAGCATCCTCAATGGTGTCGATTCCTCAAAATTGAGGATGACATCTTCGAGGAAATCTGCGTCGAATTATTCACAACTTCGCCCTTTCCAAGAAGAAGAATTCTTTCGGGGACCGTGACCCTAAGGTCATATTCTTCTTGGATGGTACACCCCAAGTTATGAGGTTTGATGAGCTTTCACAAGCAATGAGGGTGGAGGATGAACCAAAGACGGAGCCAGAAGTGGATGTCATCTAGGACTTCGACGCCAATGCGGCCTTCAAGAAGATCTGCCTCCCCTCGCATCGACGAGACCTTTTCGATCCATCGCATACTACGACTACCACTCTCAAGGGCCAATGGCCTGTCATTAATGTGTTTCTCGCCCATTCCATATTCCTGAGGGGCAAGTCAACCAACAAGATCACTAAAAGAGCTTTCCTCGCCTTTGCCGTCATTGCTAATGGAGGAGAGCGTGTTCACATCGGGTCCGTCTTGGCCACTTCTTTTTCCAAGGCCATTGGCAACAAGAGAAATGATGTCATGTACTTGGGGCCCTACATCACCAAGATCACACGACATTTTGCTGTTGACTTGAGTGGTTGCACGAAACAAGGGCGAACTACTCAATTTTTGGAGGAGACCTTGAGTGCTATGCACCTGCTCAAAGGCTTTAGACCATACCAATACATTGAGGGCCTTTTCATACCACTAGGGTTTCCTCATCATCGACAGAAGCCGGTGCTTCCTCATCAGCGAGCCACTTCAAGGATCGAGTAACTCGCCTCGAGGAACATTTCACGAGGGTCTCCACATGATTGGATAGCTCCCATACTTTGCTGGAGCCAATGGCTCGACGTCAGGAGTCTTGTCCGACAAAGAGGAGCACCCATCTACATCTCGAGAGAGGTAGTCGACCGAGTAAGACACATGGCAGAGCCGATTTCTTTCGCCCACTTCTCCCACTTGTAACTCTGAACTTTGTTATTTTTATTTTTCTTTAGTATGTGAACGAGTATTATAGTGAGTTTTTCTTCTTCTTATCGTGATGTTGAATATTGTTATGTGTACGAGCGAGAATGTGCATGTGTTTGTGTGTTTACTTCTTCTTTTTGAAGCTCAAAATCTTCACCCTACCCTTTTCTCCATTGAGGACAATGTCGTGCATAAGTGTGGGGGTGTATCAATTGTGATTGGCATATGAATGTGTGTGTGAATGCTTGATCAAAGTGGCCGATATGTGGGAGAATCTTGTGTTTATTGGCATTGACCTTGGATTGATTGCTTGTGATCGAGTGCATCCTATTATGATGTTGAGAATTGCATTAGGTTGGTGCAAAAACTTATTTATCATGTGTGTGCAAATGAATGGATGTCTTGAGTTGATTACTCTTTGATTACAATTGCCATACATCAAACTTTGTGAAATTGGAATAGATGATTGGGTGATTAGGTAGCCACGTGAGATTTGTGTCGATCGTCTTTTTCATGTGTGATAGATCCCTCTTACCAAGGTGAGTAACATTCACGTTGTCATTAGTGAGTATGATGGAGGCATAGGATTAGTCCACACCCAAAAGTTGATTGTCCTGAAACATCTTATCCCCTAGTCAACCCCTTTGAGCCATCTAACTTGGGGTCGTTCTCATGTTAGGAGTTTGAGCTTTTTGAGCATAATGGTTATTGATAGAACGACCCCCCCCCTTTCTTTATGTCTAAACCGTTGTGATTTATCCTTGTGTCTCGGAGTTCTCGCTTTTGAGCTCCATTAAGGTCCTACATAGGTCGATTTTGCACGGTTCCTACTAGGAAGGTAGTGCTGTATGAAGTTCTTAATAGAGATCATTGTTCGTTAAGTGTAAAATTGGCATGTGTTTAGCTCTCTAATACCATCCCTCAAAAAAATAAAAATAAAAAGGAAAGTAGAAAAAGAGAATTGAAAAAGAGGTAATAAACGCGGTAAATAAAAGATAGAGAGTTGCCATAGAGAATTATGTGTATGCTCTAGAAAGAGTCTCTTGGCACTCAAGCCATAGAAACACCTAATTGATTTTTGACTTTTTCACTACTATGATTGAAATTTGGATAGCAGGATGAGCCGAGGAAGTGTACTTGAATGTAATTCGTGATTGGTAGTGGTTTGGCCGATGTTAGTGGATGTTTATTGACACAAAGGTTCTAGTCTAAACCATAGAACCTTTGGTTTTATGTTGAAGATGTAGAACCTCATGCTTTGCTTGCCACCACCCAAAAGGTCTCTTCCCCATGTCCAAGACCTTACTAGTCATTTGAACTCGTGTTTAAGACCTCAGGACAAGCTAGTAATGACAACCATCTTGTATACTCTAGCATTTAGAGGTTGCCGCCGTGGTGAAGAGATGATAGGGCTGAGTGTTGATGATGTGCATCTCTTGCATCAAATGGTCCTGACCCCACTGGTTGAGAGTGAGCGATTCATTCACATTTTGCATGTTCATATCTTATCCCGGTGAGGACCTAGTTCGCCCATTGGTTTGTTCCTTGGACTTGAATTCTATGCATGGTTAATTGTGGTTGGTGAGTAGTCTTGTCGAGACTTGTATTGATTTTTGACCAGGGTGAGAGCTTTTCGTTTGCACATTCTTAATGCATTCTGTTTCAGCCATGAAACATTAAGGATACCGGATCTGTGAAATGGCGGGGATGGCCCCTTGTATCTACACTCCAACGATCAACATTAGTATTGTGATAGAAAATAAGGAGAGTTTAGGTAGAGAGAGATATTGTAGAGAGATAAGTGATATGTGGAAATGAGTCAAAAAGAAGGAGCCCCTTACTTGGAAAACCTAAGAGCATATTTATAGGTAGAGCTTGTGAGACTTTGTTGGGCTTCAGTTGGGCCTTTGTGGTGTTTCCTGGGTTTTGGCCCAT